TTGCCATGTGGCGGCACTATAAAGATAATATATCGTCTATAGTGGCAAGGGTAAAAGGGTAAATTTAATTAAAAATGTTTGAGAAAATAAAAGAAGAAGCTTGACGACTCCCATTTTGCTATTGGTAATTTTCATAAATAATAATAATTTTTATTATTTATAACTCATCAATTTATCGATCATATTTTTATTTTCATAATATCTTATTTTTCTTGATCGTCCAAACTCACTCCCCACTCATGATTAGGAAACTATTTACGCACATACCATAAACGGATATAGTTCTCAAATTCATCATCCAACCATTCCCTGATTAGAAGAGCATTTATGTTAGTATCACATAAAGATATCTTAAGAATATTAAAAGGAGCTTACTATTTAGAGCCTCATTCTTACTATTTATAACCCCCTTATTATTCATTATCATTTAAATATTATTAAAATAGTATTTTACTATTTATAATCTTTCTAATTTTATTTTTACTATTTTCTTTATCTTTTTTTTTTCCCCCTCCATATAGCCCCGCACATATCCTACTTAGCAGTTTTCAAAAGCTTGGAACATTATATATTTTAGATTAATGCAACCAATTATGATGATGATATCTCCTGAACTATTATAGAATATATATAATCCTAATAATGTTAAATAATGATAATAAATATCAACAACTATTTATCACCTCATTCGTGCATTTTCTTCAACAAAAAAAGAAAAATCCATTCACCAATAGTGTCACTCAGTATCAACTATCAATAAACTCTCTAACAACACTCAAAATCAGCAGCAGCTAAGAGTCCCATCCATATTACAGAATGATGCATGGTGCATACATAATGTTCGTCTCTCTTATGCCTCCTGGAAAAATAACTAAATGATTAAAAGAACAGATATTCATCCAAAAGAACAACCCCTTGTTCTTTTTTTGTTTTTGAACTTCTCAATGCTTAGATTACAAGGAGTAGTGTATACATATCTCAAACTCTAAAACACCTCATGTACACACTGAAGTAGAATATCTTGCTGTAAACTTGGATCATCCTCTTTATTGTTTTTCATTTGTTTAAAGAAAAAGGACCTCAGTGTAATCTATTTAAGCTTCGCATAGCACGAGGCGACACTGGTTGCAAATGCAAGACTGGGATATCAAACGAACACATTATTTGTCATAGCTGACATAACACTATAACACGGTGCACAAAGGAACCCTAACAGCTCCTTTGCAGTATAAAGCAAAATACTAATCTTCATATTAAGCCTCCTTAGCAGCACCGGATTGTGCTTTTAGATTCAGAAACACAGCCCTGCATATTTAGATTAGATACAAAGTAGCCATTAGCATACGATACCTAATCATAAATGATTAGAATTAAACTAACACTGAGTACATGCACGAGATACATGTATATGTATGAAATTGGATCCTTTTAGAAAGATCTTTGATATTGTGCTTTACAGGATGATTCATTGGTGTGACCTAGAAAATGCCTGTCACAGATGCCAACTTGCAAACCATTTTGCAACATGTTTGACCAGTGGGTTGTGAGTTTCTCTTGATATTTCTTCATCATGATCTTATCAACTGGCTTAAAGTATCTAAAACAAAATTATTGAAAATTTGACTTCTCTTTTGGCATGATAAGATTGGCCTTCACCCTCTAACCACATTAAAGGCATCGAAACTGGAGATCATCTATTGTTCCTATATTTGTGGCCATAAGAACCTATCAATTTATTTAAAAAGGTTTCTATGATTTTAAGTTGCAATTCAACTTCATCAATTGGGTAGTTGTGATTTTGTGTTGACGATGGTTCAATCTGATTCATCTTACCAAAACCCTAATTAGTGTCATATGTCACCAATATAATCTAATGACAGGTTGTTTATGTTCCACGATGAGTTGTAACACATGGTTTAGTCTTATATCCCTTGAGGCCCCCCCCCCCCCCCCCCGTTGCCAGACGAGGGGATTGAGGTGGTGGATGATACTCATAAACAGCTAGGAGAATTCTCTCCTACATAACACTTCTTTTCCCTACCTCCCGTTTCAATAACAATTAAGATATTTATTACTTAGTTATTTTTGTATTCCTTCCCGGTTAGAATATCAGAGTGATAATTTAGGTAATTTAAATTACTAATCAAGTCAACTCAAAGTAAGTATGATTTCGGTCATTTAGATTACTCATTGAGGCTTCATGAAAAAGTAGGTATCATTTAGATCATTTAAATTATTGGCTGTCTTTATTTTCAGCTTTATGAATATATAAACCGAGCAATTATAACTGCACCAAAGAGTATATCAGCAGAAATACAGTTTTGGATAATACGCACTAAAACAACATTTTCATGTGCAACAAAGTCTTTAGTCGATCCAACAAAACTATTGCATACAATTTCATTTATCAATACATCCTGCCTATGCATTCCTACATGTGCTTGAGAGAGTGAATCAAATGAAATAATCATGCACAAATTTTAAGTGAAATGCTAATTTATAGCCAACTGGGCAAATAAAAGGACTAAACGGTCTCATGAAAAAGAAAGTACATTATCAAATAACAAAAATGTTATCATCCTGTAATAACCAGAAATCAAATAAATGAGAAGCACATACCAGCATGAGGCAATAAAGCTGTGGAATAGAACACGCAGCTGCAGAGGCATATATTGGTAGTTTATCCAACCAACTATAGGCCAAAACTGCACATCAAACACCAATGAGAGCTTGCAGACAGACAAGAAAGTTCCAAATGTATCAGAAAACAGATGATAGTACCCTCCATGAAGTCAGTTGAACAGATGGGTAATCTTTCCTTATTTTCCC